AAAAAAAAAAAAAAAAAAAAAAAAAAAAAAAAAAAAAAAAAAAAAAAAAAAAAAAAAAAAAAAAAAAAAAAAAAAAAAAAAAAAAAAAAAAAAAAAAAAAAAAAAAAAAAAAAAAAAAAAAAAAAAAAAAAAAAAAAAAAAAAAAAAAAAAAAAAAAAAAAAAAAAAAAAAAAAAAAAAAAAAAAAAAAAAAAAAAAAAAAAAAAAAAAAAAAAAAAAAAAAAAAAAAAAAAAAAAAAAAAAAAAAAAAAAAAAAAAAAAAAAAAAAAAAAAAAAAAAAAAAAAAAAAAAAAAAAAAAAAAAAAAAAAAAAAAAAAAAAAAAAAAAAAAAAAAAAAAAAAAAAAAAAAAAAAAAAAAAAAAAAAAAAAAAAAAAAAAAAAAAAAAAAAAAAAAAAAAAAAAAAAAAAAAAAAAAAAAAAAAAAAAAAAAAAAAAAAAAAAAAAAAAAAAAAAAAAAAAAAAAAAAAAAAAAAAAAAAAAAAAAAAAAAAAAAAAAAAAAAAAAAAAAAAAAAAAAAAAAAAAAAAAAAAAAAAAAAAAAAAAAAAAAAAAAAAAAAAAAAAAAAAAAAAAAAAAAAAAAAAAAAAAAAAAAAAAAAAAAAAAAAAAAAAAAAAAAAAAAAAAAAAAAAAAAAAAAAAAAAAAAAAAAAAAAAAAAAAAAAAAAAAAAAAAAAAAAAAAAAAAAAAAAAAAAAAAAAAAAAAAAAAAAAAAAAAAAAAAAAAAAAAAAAAAAAAAAAAAAAAAAAAAAAAAAAAAAAAAAAAAAAAAAAAAAAAAAAAAAAAAAAAAAAAAAAAAAAAAAAAAAAAAAAAAAAAAAAAAAAAAAAAAAAAAAAAAAAAAAAAAAAAAAAAAAAAAAAAAAAAAAAAAAAAAAAAAAAAAAAAAAAAAAAAAAAAAAAAAAAAAAAAAAAAAAAAAAAAAAAAAAAAAAAAAAAAAAAAAAAAAAAAAAAAAAAAAAAAAAAAAAAAAAAAAAAAAAAAAAAAAAAAAAAAAAAAAAAAAAAAAAAAAAAAAAAAAAAAAAAAAAAAAAAAAAAAAAAAAAAAAAAAAAAAAAAAAAAAAAAAAAAAAAAAAAAAAAAAAAAAAAAAAAAAAAAAAAAAAAAAAAAAAAAAAAAAAAAAAAAAAAAAAAAAAAAAAAAAAAAAAAAAAAAAAAAAAAAAAAAAAAAAAAAAAAAAAAAAAAAAAAAAAAAAAAAAAAAAAAAAAAAAAAAAAAAAAAAAAAAAAAAAAAAAAAAAAAAAAAAAAAAAAAAAAAAAAAAAAAAAAAAAAAAAAAAAAAAGTATGTAGGGGAGGAAGGTGGGAGGACAAAAATATCATACAAGCAACATTACACACAAAACTCTCCTTAATGAAAGCGACATCAACCTCCTCACCTGTTGTCTCTTGGATCTCCACGACTGAACGTCTCACGAGGTTCACGACTTGGTGGCGGTTCCCTGAACCTTTGATCGCGCTGGTCATTCCTCTGGTCACGCTGGTCAAATTCACTTCGCTGATCACGACTAAATCTGTGAAGCAAGCAAGTCCCAAAGATTGTCAAATGCATCACTAAAATGTAGTGAAATTTGGGCAAACTAATGTGTGTTAGTGTTGTTGATAATATATATACATATACACACACCACTACTGGCAACCATGTTATTTGCAGATTCAACTTGTTTCAAGATGAAAATACTACTGTACTCATGATTACCTCTGACTAATGCCTATTTTCCCGAAAGAATACAACCTCCTTTACTCTGATTTTAATAATCTAACTATTTAATCAAAGAAATTCCATAACCACTATAATCAAATAGAAGAGAGCAAGAGAAAAAAAAACAATGAAGAACATATTAAAAGCATTTTATATGCACATGCACCACACTCATAACCTCACACACACTCAATATTGCACACACACATTACTCAAAATCACAATCAATGTCTCACACTCATATTCACTCACACTAACACTCACACACACACACACTCTCATACTAACACACTCTGCCTATCTCTATCTCTCTCTTTTTCTGTTTCTCTTTCTATCTCTCTCTCAGTGAACATGCTACTACAGAAAATACATAAAACTTGCCTAGCCGAAAACATATCCATGCTATACACTAAAACTCAGCTGAGAAAGAAATGGGTGATAAAAAAAAGCTACCTCTCTTAATATTATAACTATTCCCCAGACTAACAGTTCTCCACTAATCCGACATACAAATTAATACAATTCTCTCTGCTTTATGTCTCAATCATATGGAAAAAAAAAAAAAAAAAAAAAAAAAAAAAAAAAAAGTTTCTTGCATCTCCAGGTTCAATGCTCATTACATTAATAATGTCAAAGAAAAAATAGGTACCTTCAAATACTGATTACTATCCCAAATCTATAGTAATGCCCAACTATCTCCTAAATACCAAAGGCTGTTATCAACAGAGCAAGTAAACTGAGGTAAAACATGCCGTGCAAAATAATAATAAAAAAAAAAAAAAAATTACAAATGACAGAATAGTGAACTGGTCAAATAAAAATAATGGGAAGAAACCGAAGCTATTGTAATACATGTCCAGCTCTCATACCTATTACTTCCTTCTGATTCCTTTGATTGTCGGCTTGAACATGAAAAAAATAAATAACAGTTACATGGATAACAGCCAACCTTAAGACCTAGCTTAAAACTTCTTCCTGTATCATAACAGAAAAATAAATCACTGTAGATTCTCCATTCTGCAATTAGAATGCCCTTGTGTCAACCGTTGCAATAATACTCTAAAAGATGCAGAGTATTCCATATAAATTTTGGACTTACTAAAACTGTGTACTGTGAATCTTCATTAACACAAATAATTAAATGAATGGCAATGTGCATGAAAGTGCATTTTATGAGATTAACTCACTGTAGCTGGGTAAATGTACTAATGACTGTAGTTTTCTTTTGTCATTTGATGACTCCACAAGTGCTTATCTACCAAGGAGCCAATTAGCTAGTATTCCTACATGATCTCACTTGATTTCCCCATTACTTAGGTTTTCAGGATTTTTTTTTTTTTTCCTGTTGCTATAAATATCAATACTGTTACTATTAGTAGTGACATTATGATTATTATAGGGCTATTAAAAAAACAATAGTAATGAAAAAAATAAAAGATTTTTACCAAAAGATTAAAGAAAGGGGTAGACACGTGAGATAAGTAGGAAATGATTCCTTGATGATTAAGTACTTGTAGAACCACCTGTTTAAAGACAATAAAAAATGGTGGAAATGACATGCAGTTTTGCCTTCCTGACTGAATATACTTTATATACATTTATGAAAGATGGAAAAAAGATCAAGAGAGATAAAGAAGAAAGAGAAAATGAATAAAGGAGTGAAAAATGAAATGAGTACCACATATTCCTTGTATCATATTGTAACCTCTGATTATTCTTCATTTAACATAACCACAAAATCCTTTAAGTCATCATTAGCACTAACAGGGGGCAGATAACCTATACCAGAAACTATAGCAAAAAATAGATATTGATCAGTATCACAAAACATTGGAAAGTTATGGATATTTTTGATATGTGACCCTTTTCTCAACTGAGTACATTTACTGTTCTTTAAGAGTCCCTCTTATATGTCAGGATACCTAAACCCCTAATTCTATTATTTAAACAAAATATTTTCAGTCTAGCTATATTCATATATAAATATAATACCACATTTCTTTACGTCACAAAACATTAAAGAAAAGACATAAACAATACATGTGATTTGTGCATCAGAAGAGAAGTGAGATTGTGAGGACAGAGCTTTAGAGCAAATACTCATTGTGGCCTTTACCTGTTATCGAAGTCATGATGTGGGCCTCCATAGCCATCATGAGGAGGTGGAGGTCCTCCCATACCTGGAGGAGGCAGTCGCATATCCTGATCATTTCCTTGGGGTGGAGGTCCTCTTGGTGCTCCACCTAACTGACGCATGTCAAAGTCACCCCCTGGAATATAGATATAGTATATTGGAGTGATTAATGCACCAATGCAAATAATTTAAAAAATGTCTTCTTTATCTGATATCCTAATTTTAGTGCAAGAGTAATCTATTTACTTGGTTGGCTTAGGAAACACTAGTTGACTCAGCATATGAAAATCTACTGCAACAATGTGAGAAGCAACTGAACAAACATCTAACAATCTGTATGCAATGGTAACTAACCAAAATCTAGAACTGTCCCTGCATCTAGCTTGATGATAAGGTCAAGCGATGGGAGATAGGTTAACTGCCATGATGACTTTTGTAATATTTGCAAACTCCATGTTCCTCAGCCTCGTGGCCATCAGGTTCTCATAATATCAAACATTAGTTGTTTTGTGAACATTAAGCATAGTGATTAAGAAAGCTTTCACTCATACTATATCATCTTACATGAAATGCAAATAAACCAATTTGCTGAGCAATAAGAGTTAAAACTGATTCTTAATAACAGTTGGCTAGTGAGGCCTTGGATGGGGATCAAGAAGCATAACAGGGACTGCAACAAAAACAAGGTTGAGAACTGCTGGGCTGACTTGGTTTAAGCAGCTAGGTCATACACCTAAGCACATAGAATTACATTACTCCACAGCTTACCTGGGAAAGGAGGTCCTCTTGAAGGTGGAGGGCCAGGTGGGGGCCCTTGGAAGCCCCCTGGTCCTCCTGCCATGGGTGGTGGGTAGCGTGTGGGTAGGTTGTTTGGAGGGGGAGGGCCACTTGGGGGAGGGGGTCCTCCATTAAGCGTTGGTGGAGCAGAGGTCGGGGGAGGAACAGATGGTGGAGGAACACTTCCAGCTGGCATCAAGGGCTCCACTGCTTCTCGTCCCCCATGGAGAATCTGCACAGCTGTCTTGGGGTCAAGGATTCTCATGACAACCTGAAACAAATCGTAACAATAAGCCTCAATACAATTCAAAATAATATAACTTACAAAATCATTAATCCAATTATGTTGGGATGTCTTGAACATACACTCCATGTTCACTGTGATTTTAGTTTAATAAGTTTGTTTACATATAGATGTTTATACTTTTACTTGATTTTTAAAATTTTATTTTCATTTCTTATTGCTATTAGTACTGATAATAACATGTCCTAATGTCAATAATAATAACAATAACAGCAATGATAATAATACCATTAGGTAAATAAAATGAGGATATCAGGTGAGATCAGGCAGACCTACTAATTAACACCTTGGTGCTTATGTATTTATGGATCCATCCAAGAGATAATTCACAAAACAAAACTACTTTGGACAGTGCAATACTCAGTTAAGCATTCATCTGGAAGGTCTGAATACAACAACACTTGTACCTGAGCCTGCAGCAATGCGTAAGCAAGTTGAGGATTATTCATGAGCATTGTGCGAGCCTCAGTGGGGTTGTTGCGCACACACAGCTTCATTTGCCGCATAAGTTCGTACATCTGTTCTGGGGGAAGAGAGGCCACTGCATTGCTGATGGCTTCTGGAGCTTTCCCTGGCTCCACCTCCGGGCCATAAGGGGATTCCACAACGGGACCCATCATCAAACCTGAAGGAGAGAATTGAGGTAAAAGATCTGGCTTTAAGGTGTCAAAAAGAAAAATGTATTTAGGTTAATCCAATGCCACTGGAAAAATGTAATATTTACTGTAGTATTGTTTTATGAAATCTTCAATACACAGCTCCATAAGTGATTTGCCACCAAGTAGTCAATTAGTTGACTTTATAACAATGTTACTGACATTACTAACAGCAATAGAAGATAAAAGAAAATATTTATGAAGTCAAGAAAAAGGGGATAAATAGGTGAGATAGGTAGTACTAGCATTTAGATCATTGGTGATTAACCCATTGCCGCCGGGGATGGCATGTACATACATGCCATGCCCACTGTGAGTCGACTTGTTCCATTGTTTTTACACATAGATGGCTACACTTGTACTAAGTATCCAATGAGCCAATTACGAGTACTGCCTGTCTCGCCCATTCACCCTTTCCATCGATTTACGAAAATATTTAACGTTATCCTGATTAGCTGTTAAAAATAACACCATATATATTTGTAACAATAGTAAAAATACGTTTTTTTACTGCCAATTCAAGGAAAGGTGAAATCAGGGCTAGCAGAGCCATCTATGGACAGATATATTTCACAAAAATATAAAAAATGAGTACTGCATTTCCCCTATTTTTTGTTCATTTTCCCCGGCGGCAATGGGTTAATGGTGTCATCTATGTGCAAAGGCAATTAAGAAACTAAAATCACAGTGGGCATGAAAAGCACATACATGCCACCTCTGGTAGTATTGGATTAATACCCACCACAGATATTGCAAGAATTTCTCTTCAACATGTGACACACAAAAACAGAATTCTATAAATATTGAAGCAAGCTATAAGAACTATAAAATTCATAAGTAAATTACTATAAGTAGCCAATACATTTATAATATATATACATATATGATACATACATACATACATACGTACATATATGTATGTATGTATGTATGTATATATATATATATATATATATATATATATATATATATATATATATATATATATATATATATATATATATATATACATATATATGTATGTATACATGTATATATATATTCATTACTTACTCTGCATCTCCATTCTTGACTTCTCTGTACAAGCATTATCGACTCTGAGTGGTCTGCCTCCGATCTCATAGCTGTTCAAGTTACGCATAGCTGATAGTGCTGTCTCTTGATCTTTATATTCACAGAAGCCATAGCCTTTTGGTTTGCCAGATTCACGGTCATACATAAGCCTAGAATTTAACAAATAAGAGAGAGAGAAAAAAAAAAAAAAAAAATACACAATGAAAGATTAGAAAGGTAAGATTGATATATATATATATATATATATATATATATATATATATATATATATATATATATATATATATATATATATATATATATATATATATATTTACATACACAGACATATACATACTGCAAATATTCATTGAACACGCCCACACATTCTCTCTTCTCTTTTGTGTGCGTGCATGCGTGTGTGCGCGTGTATTTGTGTGTGTCTGTCACTCACTCACTCTACACCATTTCATTTACTTAAGACACTCACAGATGCCACAATGCCCTAATTACCAAAATATTTCAGTTCTTTAATCATTATCAATACATTGCTAATAAAAAATCCTTGAGTACTTACTTAAAAGATAAGACTGGGCCAACCTGGCTAAATATATCACGAAGTTTCTCCTCTGTAGCTTCATATGGAATGTTTCCAACTGCAAGAGCAAAGTGGAATTGGTAATGATAATGGAACTATTTCCCAAAATATTTATACTTTTTAATACTAAATGTTCAAACACTCAAAATAATTTTTGAACTTAATCTAAAAATGGACACAATATGACAATATAAAAGGTTTCTGAAACTTAAAAAACCTTATTAAATTTCATGCCTTTACAAGCTATTATGGTTAACCCATTGGAACTGAATGCCCCAATGCCCGCACGTGACCCAAAATCTGGGCATTAGGCTTACTTGAGTGGTGACTCTCACTGGTGTGTGGCCTGTAGGTACAGCCACACAAACACTTCTGTGTGGTGTCAAGACTCTTTGTCTCCATTTGCAAAGTTATTATTTAGTCTTTCAGGATAAGTGTTTCTTGCTTTTTTTGCCATTTCCCAAAGTCTATATTTGTTGACTGATATGCTGTATTAAGATGGTAATAGACTTTTTTCCTTGCACAGACTCCATATCCTCTCTCTAAGTAGTCCAAAACTCAGCACAATAACAATAAGTACCATTTTGCTATTTGTGTTATTTTAAATATTTTTCTAAAATAAAATTTTCCATAAGACCACCCTATGCTGCTGGTCATGGAGGGCAGAAACAAGATCCTGAGAATGGAAATAGTGTCCTCCATAGAGCCGACACTCTTTCAGTAATGGCTCAAGGCACATCCCAAATTTGTTTACCGATGGAAATAATATAAGAGCCCCTTCCTAAATGCACAATGAGTCTAATTAACATCCAGGAGATCTGTGCACTTGTGGCAAGTCATTCCCATAACTCTGGCCTTCTGCTAAAATTCTCGATATGTTCCTGTCACCCCAGCCCTGAGCAAAATTTTTTCATGATGGCATGTTCACGTCTCCCAGCACTCAGCCTGAGAAAAATCATAGATGTAATTGCTAAAACAGAAGCTTTAGTACTGGGTGGGATATTTAACAGGCTGATAAGAGGAAATGTGTCCTGACATATTTGAACTTATTACTACTTAGCTGGCTTATCTTTATTTGTTTTACTGTGTTCCAGTCTTTGTTTTGCTCTGTGACCATAAACAACAAATATCTCAAAGGATGGCTCTACTTGAACACTGGAGACAGTTTCCCTCCTATGTGTCTGGAAACACAGAGCAGGAAGATGGTCAAATGTTCCAAGTGCCTGTAGACCTCTATGAATGAAGATGTCCATCATTGTGGAAGAAGCATGATCCCACCTTTATTGACAAACAGTCAAAAATAGTGTGGTTGAGCAATGACAAGCCCCAAGCCCATATTTTGAAGGCAGGATTTCAGTCAGGTACAACTTTTCACCATCTTCAATTTCTAAGGAATAATCTGTGGGTTGTGATGCCCAAACAGTACATTCTCACAGCCTAG